TCATAAAATTAGGATTAAAAGTCATGTTTGGTGGACCGAATGGGATAGATGAGAACATTGGTGACTGTGAGTTAATCTGTGAAGCGCTGCCATGCTCAGAAGTGAGATCAGTTATTTCAGCGTCTTTCTGAATATGTTCATGATAAGCAAATGGTTGCGATGTTGACTCCATCTATGTAGAAATCAATATTTCAATAAAATTAATATCCTAGTTATTTGAAGCTTGAAATTATGAAGTGACACTGTAAGTGATACATAATGTATTAAGGGCCATTATAACATTATAGAAAACCTCCAACATCATGTCATCATGTTGTATGCAATGTCAAAACACATCCGACAGAGTTTCAAGTGCAGTTAGTTTTTTATAGCAATCCCCTCTATATATTTGTCAAAAGGCTATGTTAAATGAATTCATTGAAAAATACTATGAGGTAAATTAAAAATTACATACTCTGTATATTACAGTATGTATACAATGGGATTAAAAAATAATATGGTTGTATCACCATTGATGTGTGAAACAGTGTGATACTACGTGTGTCTAATTGACTTTTTTTTTTGACAAAGTGTGGGTATATTTGATAGTTTTCCCTTGTAAAATTGATTGATAGATATGTAGTTTGCTTGAGCCTTGAGGTAAATCTTAGACTGCAAATCATCTGAAACCAAACAACATTACATATACCCTAGTTTGGAATTGAGCTAGCAGTGGGAAAAGTTCCTTACTGGAAACACATTTTTAAAAAGTTCCTTGCACAGAGAGTTTTTTCCACAAATAAAGACGAGTTATACTAACAGTACAAAAAACTTTCAAAAAGTGTTACAAAAAAACACATGGAGTATCACACTGTTTAACACATCAATGATATATACTCCGTATTAAAAAATACATACAAAATATTTTGCTTGCTGAATACATAATGCATTCAATGGCCTATCTGAAACTTTGATGCAAAACTAAAGAATTTGGCCTGCAATGAAGTTTACCATATGGCATAGCACCTTGGAAGAACATTTGCTAGTTATTACATCATCTAAGTGATATTATTTTGCAGATGGCCATGGAGTAGTTCAAATGGTTTTCCTTCGATATGCATATGGCATATCACCTTGGAAGAACATTTGCTTATATTATAAGAGAATATGGGATGAAACATAAAAATATGTCAAGTCTAGTTTCTACTGTTGCCAAGTACAATGTGAATAATGGCTAATCAATCGCAGATGAAATATCGTATTAAGGATAGTTATACAATTGAGGGATGTATGCGTTTTCTTACATAACACTCAAAGGTAAAAAATTCCATAGCCCAAATTCCCAACAAGAAATCATCACAAATATAGTCCAAGAACAACAATATCGTACGGACGTCTGGGGGAAATCAAGAAAACAGGAAAAGTAGACAGAAGCGCATATACATAGATAAGATAGCAAACACGGCGGCAGCGGCAAAAAAACAGCAACAGCGAACAAGAGAGAAGAGCCGATTTTATTCTCACCAGGGATTTCTCATCACTCATAACTCAATCAAAGGGAGAAGTTTAGAAAAATACCTGGAAAACTTCTGAGTGATGAGTTAGCAGATGCAAAGAATAGCAGATGCGAAGTAGCAACCAAGAAGAAATAGCGGAAATCAAATTAGAGGAGCCTTTTATGGCCTTCAATTTTGAGATTTGGCGGATATATTTTCACTTCCCGCTAACAACTTGCGGCGCAAGAGATGAAATTTTTGCTGAGTCAAGCGTGGGAAGGGCTTGCTGAAAGTCCATGGAGAAATAGAAGCTGTGGGTTTTCTCCCGTTCCAGCTCATCAGCAAGGGGCAAATCGATTGTTTCATTGGAGACTGTTTTTTTTACTTGCCCTCAATTTTATTTTGGGTATTTCTAGTTACAGCCACAAAATTACTAATTGCAGCCACTTAATTAAATTTAGATTAAAAAACAATTTAAAAATCTCTATTTTACCCTTAAATCTATCCCGTACAGATCATTAGTAATGCATTCTCCACTGAAAATCACCGTTCTCTAATAAAACTTAGCCGCAGAGAAAGTACGATGTAACGAAGAAGGATCATTGTTTCATCTCATCGCCTCCTCCAAAGAACCCATTTGTTTTCTCCAAGAGGATTGTTCCTCCGTGCAAAGCTAGTCCTCTTCGGTAGTGTTTCATCACCAATGTTCATGGCTACGTCATCGGTTTTCTTCTTCTACTTCGCAATTCTTTCAAATGAAGTTCTCGATCGATCCAGATTTTTTCGAACAAGAGAGGAATGACGCTGATTTCTCATCTTCACCAATTATAATTCTTGCTACTCTCACCTCTTTGTTCCTTCTCCATATTTAATTTAATTTCAGTTTGTATTGTTAATCAATTAGCGTAGATATATTCTAGCAATTCAATAAATTGAGATTAACTTTCTGGAATGAATTCAAAACAAGATACGATTGCAATGAACATGGCATCACTTTCAACGGTGCCGTCCGGATTAAATCTGTCGCGAGTAGTACACTAGTACGGAGGTGTGCTTGATTGTCGGAGCTATTTTTCTATTGGAGTTGATCATCCTCATCATATTGATTGTCACACATATAAAACTCCAACAGTTTTGCTTTGCCGGATGGACAAACAGACCAGATCTCCGTTCACTTCTTTCTTCCTTAGTTCTGGAAACTTCAAACATCACCCACTGTAGGCATATGGGATTAGTATTAAGGGCAAAATAGGAATTAAAGAAAGAAATTATTTTTTACAAAAATTGGGGTGTGTGGTTAGTAAATGGGTGGTTGTATTTAGAATTGCCCTTTTATTTTAGGTGGCAATGCATTCTTAGGAATAGAAAGGCCCACTAAAGATGCTCTAATTAGCCTCACGCTAAAAATGGATCGGTTTGTGTTTGACACTGTTTGGGTTGGTGTTGTAATGGATATTTTAGCTGGCTACTTTGAGATAATGGCAAAATGGCTTTAGCCTAATATGGATATAATTTTGATTTTTTCCGGTTCTAAAAGTAATGAACTTATGAACTAATGATGTTTTATTTATTCATTTATTTATTTATCCTAAAATCAAAATAAAAGCAGTATAGTATGCGATAATGTCTCCCTAGCTATAACTAACGCATAAAAGCATTCATCGATAGTGAAGGATAATAATGAATGCTTAATGCTGCAATTATTGATATCTTAAACCGGCATATCATAGAGTATTTTCATTTTTTATGGTTTTTAGTCTTTTACAATTTTAAAATTATTGCCATGTACGTAATAATTTTAGAAGCATTTACTCACCCGAAGGACGGAGCCAGAAACAATTATTAATATGCTCACTACACATTAAAGTTTTCACTTTTAATTTATTCATTACCGAGTATTTTATCCGGCAAGAGTGATTATTGTAATGACCCTTTTTTCCACAATAAGGTATACTTTTTTTAATAGTTTAGGTAAAGTAGCTAGTGTATAGAACACCATAAAATAAATATTACGGAGCGTATGTTATTTCATATATTATATATATGACCCTTTTATAATTGTATGTGAAGCGCTTATAGTAATCTTTATTAAGTTTTTGTACTCAATTTTATTCATTCTATATGTACATTTCGTTTGTAACAAAGGTGACAACTCCGGTACCCTTGTAAAAAATGCGGTACCGTACCTTCCATTCATTTGATTGGACCACATCACTTTATCATTTTTAATTTAGATTTAAATAATTTAACTGCTACATTTTCATTGGTACATGTGGACAAAGGTATGATACCTTAATTATGAGTACCATAGCATCTAACAAACGTCTGTTGATAAAAAAAATGTCAGAATAAACATCTAATTTTCTTGTAACACGAAACTTTAGTTTATATTGTTTCACTTTCTAAATATTGTAACAACACCATCTTAGTTTTAAAAAAGTTTGAATCACATGTATATATGCACGTTGAAAAAATTATTGATCATCCCATTTTTATAAAAACTTGTGATATCATTATCCAAACTTTCAATCCATATATGTATATAACTATATACAATAAAATATGTATTTTTCAGTGGTGCCATTTGAAGGTAACTTATTTTTGTTTTCAATTTTTTTAGTGTAAACTTTTTCAATATTCATATTTAACCCACTCCACTTTTATATATTTAATCCTAGTATAATTAGTCATCACTCAATCAAACCCAAATTCCAGGATCAGTCGTTGCCCTCTAAATTTATAAGTTATACTGTTTGATCTTTACATTGTGCGCATGATGTAGGGATACCAATAGTCCAGAAGTGTGAGAAAATCAAAACTTCAAGTTCCTACTTCCGGGTTCAAGAATTCTACTCCTAACATCTTGTATGAAACTTCTTCCAAATCTATGATCAATGACAAGGGGTGCTTCCTCACAACTAGGAGTCACCTTCCTTACCCATCATTGAAGTTCCCTCAAAGCTTCCTCCTACGTAGTTTTGATCCTATAAATTGAGAAGCTTGTAAAACTTTTAGAACACAACACAATCGAGAAGAGTTGTGTAATATTTATGAGAGATTTGTGAAAAAGTTTCATACAACATTTTGTTCTCATGTTAGCGGAAGAGTTGTAGTACAAAATAAAGAAGTATTATAAAATGTATGTATATCAGTGTATATGTGCATTTTGCTCGTGTTTCATATCCTTAATTTTAAAAAATGGGTGCTTCTTTGAGTTTCTGGTTCCCGTACGTTTGTATAGAGAGCTGTGGACTTGAAAAACGCAACGTATACGTCAATGTTTCTATTACAAGTGCTTCAATTCACTTCTCAAGTCTTAGTCTTTTTAATTTTAATTCGAGAACTGCGCATCTAGTTTTGTAAACTTTACTTTATAATTATCTCAAATTGCTTTTTATGATTTGGTATGACCTATTTGCGAAAGATTTGTGCTTTCTACCAGGGTAAATTTTGAAATGTGTTGAGCGTCAATTTTCTTAATGTCAGTTAAAAAAAAGTCCCCTACTATATAAAATGAAATGGGGAGGGGTATCTATCGTCTCCAATCTGGATTATTGTTATTGACGGATTACTTTATCTTTACTTATATTATTAATTATACAAACACTAATTAGCTAGCCTCACGCTCAAAATGATGAAATGGATTGTATTTTTGCTTGTTTTGGTTGCCGTTGTAGTGGATATTTTTGCTGGATGGTTTGTGATAATGGCAAACAGGGCTCAATCTAATATGGTATGTACGTGGTCATTACTCATTTTAATCATCTATGTGTTTTTATCAAATGCATATATGTATTCCAAATTTCATTATAGGATTCGGGGCTCTGAGTTTGTAAATGAATGAATACAGGGGTGGGCGGAGACGGGGAGGGGCTGAAAGGGGTACGTCTCGGCCACCCCAATATAAAAACTCTAATGTCATCGTGGGTGTAGCTCATATGGTAGGAAGGGGGTGCGACAAGAGAAAGGTACGGGCTCAACTCCAAACAATGATTTGAGATGAAATTTCACGCTCTTTCATTAGAGAGAGATCAAAGCTCAACTTACATACTCTCAGATATTTGTTTGGTTGGTTTTGGGAGGCTCTCATGGGTGGGGTGTCATCCTTTTCTAATGTCTATATATATAGGCATAAAGCCATAAATATTCTCAATCCTTAAAAAAAGATGTTGACGTTTTAATTTTGACCTCTACAAAGTAAAATTCTTAAGCCTCAATCGTCATAACAATACATTTGACTCTGCCCATGAATGAATATATAGGTGAAGTTTAATGTGGCTGATTGTCATGGAAGTGATAGAAGTTGGATCGTTGGTTTGTTATTAATGTTGGTAGCTTGGGTATATTCTAACTTTTTAGGACTTATTTACTTGAAGAGAAATGGGAAGCCCATCATGGGTCTATGCACAATAGTGTTCTTTGCCATTTCAAGGTACCTTCTAACCTTTCTTGATATAACTACTAGTTAATTCGTGTTTGGTGGTAGTTATTTTGTTAAACCGTTGAATCTCGTTTTTTTGTGGGCAAACATTTGAAAAGTGCTAGTTCTTTTGTTTATAAGCACGATTAAGCTACAATGTGCATCCAAACAGACTTTAAAATGGATGAAGTTATTTATATACTCTTTTTTATTGCCAAAACGCCACTAAATTTCGTAGCACAACTGGAATAAGATCCGTTACTGCATACTCCGTATTTGAGTGCAACTAGAGGTTTGAAGTTTAATAATTTATCAAAAATCTTCAACTAACGGGTTGGAGTTTAATAATTTAAGATTGTGGAAAGTAATAGTAAAACACGGGTTATGTGCGAAATTTGATCTATATATCTTTTTCTCTGATCTAATATATAATCAAATTCATTCAATCATAAATAAAGAATAAAAAGTAATTAAAGTAGTGCTTTGTGTGACTAGTCGGCTGAGATCTACTCCGTATATTTTAAAAAATATATGATCCTATACTATGGGAGTGTTTGCAATCACTTAAAAAAAGCATTTCTCAGCTTTTGGCTTAAAAAAGCACTTATTTACCAAACACTACCAATTTTTACTTTTTCTCGGCTTGCGTGTGAATAGTGCTTTTTTTCCCTTTCTATTATACAAAAAACACTTATTTTACCAAACACTATCAACTTTTACTTTTCAAAATCACTTTTTTCTCAAACACTATCAACTTTTCCTACTAATCATTTTTTCCTTACATCTCCAAAAGTGCTTTTTTTAAGCAGAAACAGTTGCAAACACTCCCCTATGTGATGATGATGATAGGAGTGCCTGTTTAAAAATTGATCCTTAATACGGAGTATGTTTTCTTGTGACATTCTTTCCAAATGATTACAGTGTTTGCTCCATGACTTTCTAAAAAAGGTGATATCCGTAATTGCATATGGTTCGAATAAATTATCACAATAAATGGAATAGTTTGTATATGAGAAATGGTTCGAATAAAATATCACAATACTTATGCACTCGGCATGTGTCCCTATCCGTAATTTGTATGATTAGGGTGGAGTACCTATTGAGGATTGAGGGAATAGTTTGTATATGAGAAATGATGTTAAATAGGATGGATTTAGAATAACGTACGTATGGTACGTGATTATAGATGAGTACAATACATTCCCCTGTGCAAGAGAAATTTAGGTAGTTGTTAGTTGGATTGATCTCACTCCCAAATCAGATATTCAAAGTCAAAAACATACCAGAGTTAAACAAATGAGATAAGACCATACTTCGATAGTTTTAAAATACATATAGATCGATTAAAACATTCTTAATGTTAGAAATGTTGTATCAAATAAGTGTCTCATTTCGAGATATGCTTTATTTGAGGATTTGATATATATATGTCGGGTTTTGATATCTTAAATAATGACTCAATTTCCAGTTGAAATGTGACTTCATATGAATTTTGTTTGATAAAATCAAATACTCACTAGTTGATATTATTAAAAATTATTTACAAATATGTATTATTATTGATATATGAGCATATGTGGTATTATTTAAAGTTATTTTTAGTTCTCTTATAGGGTTATACATACACACCTAAAAAGATCATGTAAAAATACTGAATTCTACACCTTATTACTCTTTTCTTTAAGGAAAGTTTCCTAAATTTCCTAAAGTTTCCTAAATCAAAGATGACTTTTGATTATTCAAGGAAGGTGATTCCATTTGTTGTGATGTGTGCAGCTCCACATTAGTTTTGGAAATTGGATTGGTTGGATTTGATCTAAAGGTGGTGCATTATAGTGGAGAGTGTGTGATCAAATACCCACGATATCTCGTCTATGGAGCCATTGCTTGCTTTGTTCATGGTTTCATTGCCTTTGTCGCCTCTTTCACCGCTTTTGAAAGAGTGCAGGATCTTATGTCTCGTGTGGGAAAATAACACTTTGGATGAAAATGCAAATAATTAAACAACTTATAATAATCTACTATTTTATATATCCAATTACTTATTATTATATTAGTACTCCGTATATATTCTTTTTGGTAAATTACTCGGTTTATCTTTTACTTGTTTCATTACTTTTTAGGAGTAGTTTATGAGTACATAATTGAGCAAGTGTTATGGGTTAAAAAGACACATAAATTGAAGCAATACAAAGACTTGCCATATCACCATTCCGACAATGCCAAAGACTTCAAAGGAATATACGAAGTATATCAAATGATTTTTGGGTTTTCAAATGCATGTCTTTCTAGACTTGGGTTTGAGTTTGTGCCATCATCACATTTTTTCTCAAAAGACTCGAGTTACAATCAAAGCACTAAAAATGTGCCAAAAAGTATTGATAAATGATAATTGAAAGACACTGGAGTCTTTCATATCTGCAAAAAGTCACAACTCAAAAATCATAAAATAAAACTAATTTGTCATATGTTGCAAAGTTTTTGTAATTTAGTAACAAACTAAATTGACTATGCCAATCGAGCTGGTAAATGTCAATAGGAAGAGAATTTGATTTTAACATTAGTTAATAAAAAAATGTTGACTATGCGAATCGAGCTGGTAAATGTCAATAAAACTAAGAAATTTTATATATCTTGTGTACACACTTATTTTTTGGAGGTAACTCGTCTAAAAAACGTTAAAATTTCATAAATCATTCATATATACAGGTGAACTAAAATTGTACAAAAATGTACACGAAAAATCGTTCATAAAACTGATTGCGCCCAAAGCGTATAATTGACTAGTGCAACAAAATTAATCACTTGTGAATTTAACTTTTGACCACCTAGTGTCATTAAAATCTTAAATGTCATATCACATTTTTAATTGGAGGATCATTACTTTCTTTTCAAATATGACTCACTCACATTTTAAATTAACATCATGTTGGACGCTGCTAAGTTTATATCGGGTGTTAAATAAAATAGGTAGAGAATTGTGTAAAGAAGAGAAAAATAAACAAACCACAAATTATTTACTTTAAAGAAAATTGATAAAGTTTTTTAGAAAATTAAAAAATGAAAATTGGTAAGATTCAATGGAACGGAATGAGTAAGCTTTTAAATTTCATCCTTTTAATATGACTAAATAAGTCCTTGTGAATAAGTCCTGTGTGGGATCCTTGGCCATGCAGATCATTTTTGCCCTTCTAATCTACACAATGGCCATTGGATTGGAGAGAAGCCGTATGGGTCATGGTTATGTGCTGATATGAGAAGGGGTACGGTGGTGTGCACCCGGGTAACAAGTGGCTGATTCCTAGCAACTACATGACAAGTGACAAAAGGGATGAAGGAGAGGTCTCGGGTTTTTTCGGTCAGAGCAATATTTGACCAGGGAAGCTACGTGGTGGAAGGTCATCTCTCAAAGGGATCAGAAATGAAGTTGCTATTACCCTGGAAGATCCAAGGAAACGCAGGGTTATTGAACTAGTTAGCGAGGAGGGTGTTCAAGAAAGCATGGATGTCGATGATGCGGTTCCAAAAAACTTGCAGGTGGCGGTGCTGTCTGGAGAGCACCGCCAGTGATTAGGAATTTTTGTGATGTTCAGGAGGAACCTTTGGCGGAGGCTGGTCAAACCGCTCTCTCCTTACCAGTGGCTGGAAAAACTGGATATTGTTCTTCTTATTTTTCTTTGTTTTCTCAAGACTTTTTAGTTATTTTTGCTCTTACTTCTAGTAGCCGGTGCAACATTGATGTTAATAGAGTCTACCACATTGTGGGATTAGCGAGTTGGGCCGCTTTTAAGCGTGACTCTAGCTCTGAGTCTCATCCCAGTGTAGCCTTTTATATGACGAACTTGTATCTGGTTCTCGTTTTTAATATGAATTAATTAAGTTATCTTTTTCCAAAAAAAAGTCCTTGTGAATAGAACTCCTTTTTTGAAGTTTTCTCTAGTTTCATTTCCATAATTCTATTTTTAACATATTCTTAAAAGGAAATCAAAGGACATTTAAGTAGTACCCCAACATAGGCCAGGGTGGAGTGGGAGGGTTCTGGGCTGGGCATGGCCGGACTTTGGGCCCAAGAGTTTAAGTCCCGGTACAAGCCCGGGTTTGAACGGGTTCTGGGTCGGGTCGGGCCAGGGTCGGGTTCAATTTGTTTTGTTTTTGTTTTTTGTTAATTAATTCAAAAGTGCTACAAAAAAATTCAATGTATATTTATTGAAACATGAAGTACAGTTGATAATTGAAAAGAATTTCAATCAACAAATACATTTGGTAAAAATTAGTCGGAATCCCCGCAAGATTCGGTTGTTGTTTCTTCCATGAAGTGGCGGTCGGGGGCAATTCAAATTTATTGAATTCTACATCATGCCGTCAATCAACCGTGAAAGCAAATGAGCGTCTCAAGAGATTGTGCGCTCAATCTTGTTCTATAATCGATGGGGACATTGCCGGGTTTGCTAAATTCTTGTTTCACGGCTACTGCTGACACTAGCATCGATATCACTTGCTTTGTCATCTTCGAAAAATCGGGAACATTCCTCCTCGTTAGTCGAGATTTGTGCAACAACGGGAGTTGGTTTACTTTTTCCATAAGATTAGCAAATGTAGATTTGAAAATTGATTTTCTTTTAGATAAAGAAGCAGTTAGTTTCAGGGGAGGGGGGACGTTAACATTGTAACACCGTCCCCAAATATATTTACTCTTAAGTAAATGATGTAATAAACCATATAGAATGATTAATGAATTTACGAAGTTGTAAATTTTTATTATTTCTTTCGCGTGAATAGTAAATTTCACGTGGGACCCACATCGGGAGCGGGGGCCACCCGATATTTCCGAGACCATATGTTTTATTCATCTTGGCCTAGATGATAATTATATAGTGGTGGATATTTTATTTGGGCATAAGAAGGCCTAGGGTTGACCGATTGGTCAAAAATGGCCCAATTATTTGTAGCGACAATTTATCAGATAACAGCCCGAAATGAATTTCGGTGACTTCTAAAATAAAGTTTTGGAATATATATTATTTCAAAGGGCCATTACGATCGTGAGTAAGTAATATATTTTATTTGACCCAATAAAATAAAATATATTTAAAATAGTAAAAAAAATACAACTTTTGGGGCCGAATGTACATTTTGGGACACAAAGGTATGACCTCCCACATGGGTGGGGGCCACCCCATGTTTTTGTGTTCTCAAAAAGACCTATGGAGACTGGAATGACAAAAGATTATGTGGAGGATCATTTGGCATTTATAGTACCAAGGAGGACCCCTCACCCTCTCTTATTTGTCATTTGAGACAAAAGTGAGTATCCTCTCTCACCCCTATCATTAAGCTCGACCAACCCCAGCAAGAAAGGAGAAGGAAGCTCTCAAACCATCCTCCATAGCTACAAAATACGAGCTCATGCAATAGAGGTCTAAGGAAGGAGATTAAAGAAGGAAAAAACTAGGAAAAGTGTGGAGAATTAAGGTAATGACCTTATAATAACTTTTCCTTTATTTTTCTTCTACCATATGACTTATATAGCATATGTGAACCCTTGTTGTGGTTCTACATATATACATATGTAGAAATATGGGTTGGAAAGTGATGCAAAGTCCAAGAACAGACTTATAGTCAAAGTTACCGGTTCGCCGGAAAATAACCTTTTTGAGGTTGATTGTATTAATATGGGTTTTATGATTATAAAAACTTATTAGGAACTTGATTAAGGCATTTCAAGAGCTTTCACAAAGTTGAAAGAGTCTCCGGAGTTGTCGCCGGAGTTCGTCAAAAGTCGCCGGAGTTTCGCCGGAGTTCAACCAAGGAGGGTAGAACTTCATAGCGCTAATTTGAGGTGAGTGGACGACTTAATATCTTATAACTTTTGGGTTAATAATGAGATTACCTAAATAAATGTTATATGCATTCATAATGATGTTTGAAAGATATTTAAACATATGATTAGCCAAAATGATTAGGCTTGTATAAAATGAATTACTTGAATATGCATGGAATATGATATGAGAATTTCTATGAAATTGCATGCTTGAAGGGTAAAAGAAGCCTAGAATGAATATTCTTAACTTAATATATATATGATGATTAAGTTGATATGTATAAGGCTTGAAATGTCGGTCAACGAAAACGTTGACCGATTGAAAATGGAGAAATCAATACCGGTTGGTATTAGTTAATTATAAATCTATATAAGTGCATGACTTTGCATGGATTGAGATACATAAGCCTTATGGATTGATTTAGCTATGAATAAATAAATATGATATAGACTCTATCTAGGTTGATATGAGGTTGATCATAGGAATATTAATGGTGGAGGACCCAAGGACTAAAGAGTCCTCAAAACTCATATGCATAACGGTGGAGGACCCTAGGACTAAAAGTCCTTAACATTCGGATTGTTAATGGTGGAGGACACTAGGACTAAAAGTCCTTAACACTCGGATTATTAATGGTAGGTGGAGGACCCTAGGACTAAAAGTCATTGACACTCAGATTATTAATGGTGGAGGACCCTAGGACTAAAAGTCCTTGACACTCAGATTATTAATGGTGGAGGACCCTAGGACTAAAAGTCTTTAACACTCGAATTATGAATTGGTGGAGTACCCAAAGATTATGTTATCCTCAAAACTCATAGATTTTGATATTGAAATATGGACAAGGAGGAGTCCTATACACTCATATGTATATGGGTGGGTTGGGGTTTTTAGTCAATAATATTGACTATTGCTATTTTCCCAAACAAAATGGTGATCTACGGATCGGGTATTTTCCAAGTGTATATATACTAATAAGTATTTCTTAACTTGGGGGGAAAAGACTATTTATATAAGTATCACCCTATGTTTGGGTCTTATACTTGAAACGCCAGTTATTCTATATTTAGCCTCTTACTCGCTCGGTACTTGTAGTGACCCCTTCGGGGGGGGGGGGGGGGGGCACCATTTTCAGGTTGAAGCTAAGGCTTGCTACCTGCACCTTTCTACGGGTGACATCAACTCAAGGAAGGTGTGGTTCATGCTTCCTTATTTTCTTTCAAATTACCAAACAT